TTGATTCCTCTAAACGTAAAATCACCTGTGAATGTTTTATATTCATATAACCTCATATATACTTCTTTATCACTACTTATGCAAGCTAGTACAGACAACCAGACACAGAAGGTTAAAAAAAGGAAATAGAAATCACTGTTTTTTGAAATCTGTTCAAAAACTGGCAGGATGTTAAACATAACAGATTAATTTTGTGTTGCTTGACTGGAGGATTGTTGCTTTAGGTAAACATGGAAATTAGCTTTCAAAATACAGTAGCTTAGCCTTAGGAAATTATGTATGTAACACAAATTCTAAATGGAAGCTCAAAGAACTAAATGAGTTAAACAAAATCTCACATGTCATCATTCTTTTTTTTTTCTTTTTGGTACCGGGGATTGGACTTGGGTCCTTGCACTTGCAAGGCAGGCCACCAAACCGCTGAGCTAAATCCCCGGCCCACCATTCTTAATTAAAATTCAATAGCTTCTCCATTACACCATAGTTTTGCCCTAGTCTTGAAATTTCTGACCCAAGAAAGTCCGTTAACTCTGGGAGCCGGGATTTAGCTCAGTGGTTCCACCCCCTGCCCTGCAAGTAAGTTCAAGGTCCCCAGTTCAACCCCCAGTACTAAAAAAAAAAAAAAAAAAAAAAAAAAAAAAAAAAAAAAAAAAAGAAAGTTAACTCTAGGATATCCATTTAGAAAAGCAAGCTTTATCTGGGACAGAAACTTGTGGGTCAGAAGATACAAAAATACTACCCTCAGAAAGCAGCACACACTAAGGCTTAGCATTAAAAAAAAGAAAAAAGAAAGCTTAAATATATATATGATACATTATATTTTTCAAAATAGTCAAAATGTACAATATAGGTTTTTATTTTAATTCACTTAATGGACAAAGAGTTCCTGGAACCTACCTTGTGCTATCTTACACAAAACATTTTACATTAATAATAGTCTCTCGGGAGCCGGGGATTTAGCTCAGTGGTTCGGTGGTCTGCCTTGCAAGCGCAAGAACCTGAGTTCAATCCCCGGTACCACCACCCCCAAAAAAGAATAGTCTCTCAGCCTCCTCTGTCATTCAAAATTATTCTTCTAAATAAAGTCCAAAGACTTGAATTTTCCATCCCAACCAAATTTTTTTATCTTACAGTTTCTCTGCAAAGAATAATTCTAACCCAATATTGTATGTATATAATGAGTTTCCACTTTCATAAGTAACATGCTTTTCACATTATCAGAATGGAAGCTCGAAGAGGACAAGAAATATGTTACTGATGTTCACCAGGTTCCTTTGCTTATAGTAATTTGGTCTGCATAGTTTAAATTATTTATACTATTGGACTTCATTAAGAGCTGACTAGTTTGAGATGTGAAATTTGTTAGTATGGCATTTGTGGATATATATATGCATACTATGGCCCTTGCTCTTCTAAGTCTTTAGCATAAAATTGCCTTTCAGTGCTGTTTAAGACATAGGATAATTGATACTCCTTTTTCCTTTCTAACAAATTGTAGGAGGTGGAAAATTAAAAATTCTATGCCTGGGCTTCAGTTAGTACCTGTAAGAGCTTAAAAAGAATTTATAAAGAGGTTTTACAGTAACAGAAAAGTACATTTCCTTTTCATACAGAAAAATGGTATTTATCAGTAACAACCAACATTCTCTAACACTCTTCAAAGCTACTTTTCCACAGGAATCATAGGGAACTGGCAATCTGTCCAGTTATACAGCATTCACCTTGAAGCATTATAGAAAGCAAAGTCCGTTTATTACTTAGTTTACACACAAATCCCAACAATTGAAAAGTTCTATGATTCAGAGATTTTTTTTGCCTGGTGTGGTGGCACAAACCTGTAATCTCAACAGCAACCTGCCTCTTCCTGAGGCACAAGAGGAATGCAATTTCAAGACCATCCTAGGAAGAAGATACCAAATTCAAAATCAGCCTGAACCACACAGCAAGACCTTGTCTTTAAAACAAAGAAAATCTGTTAAATGTTCTATGTCAATACACAATTGGTATACACAGTATTTTTGAAACTAAAACTCATGATCTGTGAAGACTTTACACCATTTATGGATTTAAGGACTTAAATTTATTTAAGAAAGGTCTAAAATTCTTACACATAAGATAATTGACAACAATAAAGTTTTGATAGTCTCACTTTTCCTTGTTAAATATGAGACAGAGAGCTCAAGCATTGACTTTAATTCTAGTTATTACTCTAGGCATGTGACAATGATCAAATGATAATATGCTGATCACTCCAGAATGTTTCCAAAATTAAGTAAGCATTTCCAATAGGTTTGTACTAGCTTTCTGTGTGGCCCAGGGGTTTTTCTTTTTCGTTTTGGTGGGGGATTGAGACAAGGTCTCACTATATAATTTAGGCAGGCCTGGAACTCAAAGCAATCCTCCTGCCTCAGCCTCTGAATGCTGGGATTACAGACCTGCACCACCATGCCCAGCTAGCCTAGGGTTTTTCTTTGCCATGGCTATAGAGACAAAAACTTGCATCACAATTTTTAAATTTGGGAATTCAATTGTGAAAATTAAGCTTGGGGGGGGGACTAAACAATAGGTAAACAATCAAAAGTTCAAAAATATATCCTAAGTATTACTTTTAGGTTATGTTACTACTTCTAAATAGGAATGTTTAAGTATATGAAGGGCATCATCATTAATACATTTCTGAAAGAAAACTTTTAAACTATCATCATTTTTCTTTTTCAATGTTCCTTACAGCCTACTCAGTTATTGATTTAAAGTATGTTTATCTTCACAATGAATTCTTCAGCAGCACAGAATTTTACTTATTCTTGTGTTTGGTTCATCTCAACTATTGTATCCTATATGCATAGCCTATGATTTATACCTCAATAAATTTTTAATGAATTATTGAGATCATCTATTTTAATAACTGAATTTACTACTAAAAAGTAATTGCCTTTTTTCAATAACAGCATCCAATCCTGTTATTACTTCCACAATTAAAAAAAATGGGAGGGTGGTGCGGGGCAACTTTGGGGATTAGTTTTAAGGCTGAAAACTATAAGTGCTATAATCTAATCAACAAACTGCTAGCACATCCCACCCAGTCTACTCCCGAAGTAATCCCTATCAATCCGATTTACTGAAAAGTGTATCTCTCTTAGCTAAAAATCAGAAAAATTAAAGATGCTCACAAGTCTAATACACCTTAACTCTAGAGCCCCTTTAACAAATCACCAACCCAATTAGCCATACAGAAGAGATTTTAGAGATACAAAGCAGCAACTGGGCCATGTTTTCATCAATTATAATTGTTCGAACACAATCTTGGGGTTGAAAAAGATCTTATAACAACATCTAATCTAGCCCATTCCCTAGTCAAGAACTGACCCAGGATCTACACCTTAATATCCATAGTACCTGAGATCTGAGTTTTTAATAAAGAAATGGCATTCCATATCCTAGCAACACAGGTTATTCCATTGGAGTTTCCTCCAACTGACTTGCGCCCAACTGTTCCCGGTTGTACTCCCTGTGAGATAGCTATGCACTACAGGTTTCTGGCAAAATAGTTGCTAGATTGGGGGTGGGGTGGAGTGGTGGCTAAGCCACACATTTTTTTCAAGCATCAGGCTTTCCAAGTACTTGAGGAACAAAACGAACATTTCCTGCCACTCTGCCTATTTAAATAAACAGAAATTACTTGTGCACATTTTTGGAGATTAAGAACCTACCTGTCCCATTAAATGTGCTTACCAGACTACATGCGTAGACGCGACATTATGGATTTTCGAAACTGCTCCTAAGAGGATCGTCGCTCGGAAAATACGCATTACATCCGCATAGTCCTACCAGGAACTAGACACACAGGCCTGCAACTCGGAGGAGGCCTTCGCTCTGCGCTCCCAGGGCAGCCCCGAGAAAGTCGGGTGCGGATCCGATCAAAGGAAAACCCTTCGTGCGAAGAAAGACTAGGCCCTGGGGAGCTGCGCAGGCAAGGGCAGCCCGACGCCCGCTACCTCCCAGTCTCGGAGGGGACGACGCCCGAGGGGGCCGCACTGACCCCG